AGAGTTCAGAGTCTGATCAGTATAGGTACTTTTGTACTTTTGATTTTTGTACGGTCATGGCTTTTCTTCTGTATTTCTTCTGCTAGCCATGTACCGTATTTGTAGATGATTGTTTTGAGGAAAAGAAAGAAAAAGATAGATGTTTGTTCCGCTGTGTTTGATGATTCATAGTAGCTCTGTGTTTGTGTGTCTGTTGAGTTTAATTATTTAGAAGAATCAGTTCAGTACCCAAATTCCAAAGCCAGATCCTGGATAAAAAGTTTGGTCGCGGCCTGGTGCGAGCGGGGTCCGTCCCGGATCGGGTCGGGTCGTGACACCCCCCCTACCAAGACTTACTATTCGTAAGCCTAATCCACCTAAGACAAATTCGATAAACTCTCAAACGCCCCTGCTACCCATTACAACCCTACATAAAACTACCACTAATGATACTCTAATTCCGAACTTGAATTCTCCGTCTGGGGATTTTCAAGATATCTCTGATATCATCCCACAACCGCAACAGCCACCTCCAATTTTGAACAGCAGCAATAAATTCCAAATCCTGTGTGAACAGGATGCCCCTGAGGAGGTTTTTCCTTCATCTAGCAAAGAACCAGTCACCACCCTCACTAACACCTTGCCCAATACTTCTAACCACAATAGCCCTTCTCATACTTCACCCCGCAGCCACCAGCCTAACATTCCCTCAAACCTCACTGACTCTTCTACCTCCACATCTTCATCCACCTCCCAAACCAATAAAACCCAACAGCCAAACAACCAAAACCAAAAACAAACTAGAGGCAAGCAAGCAAAAAAAGTCTCTACCCTAAAATCTAAATCCTAATGTCCCTCCCTAACTTTGCAGCCTGGAATACTCGTAGGTTTAACAGCCCGGACAAAGTTAATTGCTGCAAACAGTTAGTCAAAGCCCATAATCTTGATCTCCTCATCATTCTGGAAGCCAAAATCACTTCTCAAAACCTTTCTAACCATTGGTTTCAAGCCCACCACAAAATTTTCCCTAAGTAAGCCTCCTGCGACAATTTCACTCATTCTAGCCCTGGCCACATTTGGGTAAAATGGAATGAGGATGCTTTAAAGTTTACCACCCTTCATAGTTCTAGTCAATTTATTCATGGCATTGTTAATATTGGTCATTCTACTATGTTTGTTGTAACTGCTATCTATGCTATCAATCTTCATGCTGAAAGACAAGTTTTGTGGAAAAACATTCAAGACATTACTGGCTCTATCTCTATACCCTGGGTTGTTCTCGGTGACTTTAATTGTTGCCACAATCTGAATGATAAAGTTGGTGGTACTGCTCCCTCTCATGCTAAGCTTGGTGACTTTAATAGTATGGTTTTCAACACGGGATTACAAGAGCTCTCTTCTGTTGGCCACTTCTTCACCTGGCACAATCAACAACAACGCAATCCCATACACATCAAGTTAGACAGGGCTCTAATCAATGACTCTTGGCTCAGCAACTTCCCTAACTCCTACAAGGTTGGGGATCCTGAATGTTCGGACCATTCTCCATTAATCATGCTGAATTCTTCTCAAATCAAAAGGGGGCACCATTTCCTGTATAAAAACTACAGCACTAAATTTCCAGAATTTTGGAATTGCCTCATGGATGTCTTCTCTCAACCCAATAGTAGCAGTCCCTTAAGCTCCTTTAACTTTAAGATTAAGACTCTTAAAAATGCTCTCAAGAATCAAACCTGGTCCAATGCCAATTCCATTCAACTGGAAATTGACTCTCTCACTAGCCAACAACATGATGTGATCTCTCAAATTCAACTTAATCCTTTGGACCATCAACTCAACTGCAATCTCAAGATCATCAACTCCAAGCTTGCTCATTACCATACCATTCTCTCTAGTTGGATTGCTCAAAGAGCCAAAGTGAAATGGCTAACTCATGGTGAGGATGACTTAAAGTTCTTATATGCCAAAATCAACATCTCCAAAAACCACAACTGTATCAAGGAAATTTCTAATGACCAAGGGACTCATTCTTCTCATAAATACATAGCTAATGTCTTTATCAACCATTTCAGCAAGCTTTTCAATACTGCTACTCAAGCTACCCCTTCTCAGCACTTCCTTGACATCCCGGCTGGCAACTCCATTCCTCCGCACCTTGTTTCCTCTTTGATTGCACCGGTTACTACTGAAGAAATTAAGGGTGTTGTTTTCTCTAGCAAGTCCAACACTGCTCCTGGACCAGACAGCTTTAGTTTGGATTTTTATAAATCCACTTGGGACGTTATTCAACAGCAACTGTGTAAAGCCATTACTTCTTTCTTTTCCACTGGTTTCATGCCTAGACATGTCAAGGCTACTTCTATAGCACTCATTCCAAAACACCCCCACGCCAGTAATGTGAAGGATTTTAGGCCAATTGCTTTGTGCAATGTCATTTACAAGATTATCGCTAAAATCATTGCTAATAAGATGAAGGAGGTTTTACCCTACATTATTCACCCTAGCCAAGGAGGTTTTATACACAAGAGAATCATTTCTGATAATATTCTTCTAGCAACTGAACTCCTTGGTAACTTTAACCTCAAAGCCAAGCACAAGTATTTCTGTGCTAAAGTTGACATCACCAAGGCCTTTGACACTATTTCTCGTGATTTCCTTTACCAAAGGCTCGAGGCCAAAGGGTTCCCTGAATTGTTTATTACTTGGATCAAGGCTTGTACGTCTGATGTGTACTTTTCTATCTGCATTAATGGGGCCCTTGAGGGATTCTTCAACTCCTCCTCTGGCATTCGTCAGGGCTGCCCCCTTTCACCTTATTTGTTCTGTATTGTTATGGATGGTTTATCTGCTAGCCTTGACCTGGCGTCTAATAGAAACAATTTCAAAGGTATCAAAACTGGTGAATGTGATGTTACCCACCTCATGCTTGCTGATGATCTCCTTGTGTTTGGAACGGCTGAAACTTGCAATGCTAGCACACTTAATTCCATTCTTTCGGATTTTGCTTCTAACTCTGGTTTGCATGTAAATCCTCAGAAAAGCTCTATCCTCATCTCTAACAATTTGAAGGAAGCTCTTGATATCTGCAATATTCTGAACATTCACCAATCTTTCAGCCCCATTAAATATTTGGGCTTACCTATTTTCTACAAGAAACTGAAAATGGCAGATTTTCAGCCGCTTATGCACAAAATCACTACAGAGTTAGAAGGGTGGAAGGCTAAACTCTTGTCTCTTGCGGGTCGCATCCAATATATCTAATATACCATCTGTAACACCCTTGCTTATTGGATTCGAGGTTCCATAATACCGAAAGGTTGCTGTAAACAGATTAATCGGTTATGTGCGAGATTTACCTTCTTTGGTAATATTACTCAAAAAAAACTGTTTACTGTGTCGTGGAAAGATACTTGCCGTCCCAAACACCATGGGAGGTTGGGTATTCCCTCAATTGACTCCCTCTACCACAGTTATGGGTGTTCTATTATTTGGAGATTTCTCAATTCAAACAACTTACTTTTTAGTTGGTGGAGGGCTTTTTATTTTTCTCTGTGGAATTTTAATGCTTCCAAACGATCCCTTTACTGGAATTTCTTGTGTAACAAAGCAAACAGTATTAAACACCTCCTCTCTTTTTCTGTTCACCCGGGTAGCAATCTTTCTACTCTTTGGGATCCTTGGTGTGGAGGATGTTCTATTGCTGATTATTTAAAGTTGACTAATTCACTGTTTAGATACTCTAATTACTGGAGTAGCAACATCTCGAGTATCATCCTGGGGGACAAGTGGAACCTTCCTCCCTGCTTTGACAGCCAAATTTCCTCCCTTATCACTAAGGTTCCTATTGACTGCTATGAGGAAAATCATTGCTGGGCTGGTAAGCAATTCCCTAAATTTGCTGATTTTAACGCGCAGTTTTTTAGTAATCTGAGCATTGTAAACTGGCACAAATATATATGGCACAAAAAATCAGCACTCTGATTCTCGGTTTATGCTTGGCTGGCTTTTAAAGGGGGATTAAAAACATCTGATGTTCTTGCTGCTAGGGGTATAACTACTCAGAAACACTGTTGTTTCTGTTACAATGACATGGAAACCACTTCCCATCTTTATTTTGAATGCAGTTTTTCCTTCAAAATTGTCAAATCTCTTTTTCCATGGTTGAATGGTTTACTGATGAGGCCAAACTTACATCAACTCTATGACAGTATCTATGAGCAACATTTCTCTGTGCACAATAAAAACTTTTACCTTCTTACTGCTTCTGCCATGGTTTACTTTCTCTGGAGAGCGAGAAATGAGTGGATTTTTGGTGGTGTTTTTGACTGTCATGCCACTGTTGCTGGGAAAATTCGTAAAGCTGTATCTTATAAAACTCATGGATGGAAAAAAGATTGAATTCTGTGTTCCGAAGTGGGGCTGGTGTTGGTTTCTCCCTACTTTGCCACTACTCAAATATTATCTTTCTTGGACTAGCCTGGATGAGGACTTTTTTGGCCTTGCTATCACGGTGTTAAGACACTCCCAGAATCACAAAGCTGCTCCTGCTGATCGCAACATGGGAATTTTTGAGGAACCTGCTGTTTTTGTTTCTGCTTCAGGTCTCCTGCTATCATTTTTGAAAGGACAATGATGAATGCTGATTTATCTCAGCTACCCCTTGGACGGTCCGAGTGGCAACCAGGGGTCACGCTCTTCTTAAGCCCCAAAGATATTTAGTCCCTTACGAGTTTAAGAGCGACCTGAGTCCTTTAGGCATTTTTGCCTACTTTTTCCTCCATTCTTTTTGTAGTTCTCTTTCATTTTGTATCCATAATCTCTTTTTTGTTTTGAGATTATGGATTATAGTTGGCTGTTTTTTCTTACTTGTAATTTCTTTTTAGCAATGAAATGGGCTCTGCCCCAAAAATTCCCCAAAAAAAAAAAGTACACAATTTTTTAATGACGAAAATACCCTTCATTTGATCGTTACTTCGTTGGTATTTGAATCAACTCCCTAAACTGCCCTTATCTTCATCAAGGAAGTCTACTCCATTCCCCTTTCGAAAGCCAGAAGTGTAAGATTTCGCTTTTCTTCTCCGAGGACGCGCAAATCGGCCTTTAAATTAGCTAACATAATTCTCTTCCCAGCTTTTTTACTTCCCCAATTCAACGCCTGGTCGTAACCCTAATTCTGCAAAAAGTTTTGCTGGAACCCTAGCAGGAGAAGAGGGAATCCGTTTGCGGATGTCAAGTGCGTTGGCCTTCCCGTCGCAACGGCGGAGGAAATCGCCTCTTTCCGGGGCTTTTTTTACGCCTGCGGACCTTTCCGATCTCGCTCTTATACAAACTGTAGCGAGCATCGCCGGCGATATTGTTTCTGGAAACCTCGATCCTAACGCCTCTGTGCCCCCTTTTCAGCGCCGGAACTCGCGATCGCTGGTATGGAAGGTAAAAATACTCCTTGACTTGTTGAAATTCCTAGGCGATGGCGGCGATGGGAACTTACTTTTGCGGCTGCCTACCTCGGCGACGACTTGTCTCAAGGAGCTCTACATCCTCATCCACCGCGCTAGGAGCCTTTACGATTTCTGCTCCCAATCGAGCCGGCTCTGGCTTCTTCTCCGGAACCCCCAAATATCAGGCCACTTTCACGACCTGAACATCGAGATCGCCACCATACTCGATGTCTTCCCTCTTCGTGAGATAGATTTGGCTGCCGACGTCCGGGAGCAGGTCGAGCTTCTCCATAGCCATTGCCGAAGGTCTAAGCTTTTCGTGGATCCGCGAGAAGAAGCCCTCCGCCTTCGCATCTTCGCGTTCCTGGAAGAATTTGAGAAGGATCAGGCACCCGATTCAGACGAACTGCGAGGGGCTTTCGTACACCAGTTAGGAATTCGAGATGCGAAGGCTTGCCGTGCGGAGATCGAGTTTCTTGAGGAGCAGATATACAGCCAGGACGAAGACGTCGCGCCCTCTCTTATTGGCGGTGTGATTGCGCTCGTTCGGTACTGTCGCTTTCGCTTTTTTGAGTCCGTAGAGGAGGAAATAACGAGAAATCCTTCTTTTCTTAGAGTTGGAGAGTCGTCTGTTACAATCCCAAAGGATTTTTGCTGCCCGATTTCTCTGGATCTTATGAGAGACCCAGTGATTACTTCTTCCGGCCAGACCTATGATCGAGCTTCCATCACCCAATGGATTGACGAAGGGCACTGCACTTGCCCTAACTCCGGCCAAATGCTCTCACACACTCGGCTTATGCCAAATCGAGCTTTGAGAAACCTAATTGCCCAGTGGTGCGCAGCACAGGGAATCCCCTTTGATCCCCCTGATGGTTATGATGCATCAGCTGAGACTGCAGCCACTGCTTCAGCCTGCCGTGCGGCCTTCTTTGCCAATAAAAAAACAGCTGAGATTTTGTTGGGAAAGCTTGAATTTGGTTCTGAATCAGAGAAGACCGTTGCAGCTCTTGAGATACGTTTACTGGCCAAGACAGGGAAGGAGAACCGGGCTTGCATTGCAGAGTTGGGTGCAATCCCATTGCTTGAGAAGCTTCTCAACTCATCAAATTGCCGCACCCAGGAAAACTCAGTGACTGCCATACTTAACCTCTCCATACTTGAAAATAACAAGACGAGAATCATGGAACTGAATGGCTGTCTAAGTTCAATTGTGTCTGTTTTGATCAATGGATTGACTACTGAAGCAAGAGAGAATGCTGCTGCCACGCTGTTCAGCCTTTCAGCAGTTCATGCTTTCAAGAAGAGAATAACCTATGAGTGTGGCGCTATTGAGTCACTGGCATTGTTGTTGAAGGAAGGAACACCAAGAGGGAAGAAAGATGCTGTGACTGCTTTGTTTAATTTGTCCACACATCCTGATTGCTCTGCAAGGATGGTAGAATCTGGAGCAGTATCAGCATTGGTGGAGGCTTTGATGATTGAAGGAGTTTCAGAGGAGGCTGCAGGAGCCATAGCTTTGCTTGCGAGGCAGCAAACTGTGGTGGAGGTTGTTGGGAAAGATGATGCTACCGTCGCAAGTCTTGTCAGTTTGATAAGGAGGGGCAGTGCAAAAGGGAAGGAGAATGCAGTTGCAGCATTGCACGAGCTTTGTAGGAGTGGTGGGGTGGCTTTGACGCAAAAAGTGGCAAGGACTCCTGCATTGGGTGGTCTTATACAGACTATATTGTTCACTGGCACAAAGAGGGCGAGGAGAAAGGCCGCCTCGCTTGTCAAGTTGTGCCAGAGAAGTGAGATAGCAGCGGCGACTGCTGTGCCTCTTGGTGGTGGATGGGAGTATTCGATGACGAGGAACAGCTCGATGAGACGGAGTTCAGGCTTTGTTACAGGGGATGTATCAGTTTCAGTCTCTGTAGGCATATCAGTGCCTGTTTTGTAGATTATATAAAGAGAGCTGATGCATGGATTCTTTCATTCATGTGTGAGTGAAGGTAAACAGAAAATTATGAGAGGGGGTCCATACCTGTAAATCTTATTTGCTGTAATTATAGTCATTCAAGATACCTGCTTGATAATGCAATAGAGATCTTCATGTGTCATTGTGTTTCAGCTTTGTTTGGTTACAGAGAGAAGGCCTATCCAACAACATGGGAAAGAAGCAGACTTGTAGCTTTCTTGCTCATGATTTGGTTTCAACAAACTGACAGAGCCAACTGAAACCAGGTAAAGATCTCCTCCATTTCTCCCCACAGTTGTGATGGCATGCTGCATGATAAATAAGCGACTGATTTGTTTTTGGTATAATTTCATTACAAGTCGGTTACATATTCAATATGCAGTGGCAAATTGGTAACAAAATTAAGGCCTCTTAAATTTAGTTACAATGTCATTGCAAATTGCAAATCTTGGACATCCCTCACAAATACAGCATAATCCATCTTAAGTTTATAAATTTAAATTATAGTCATTCAATCTCAATTTACAATTACTCAATGATTGTAGATATCACAATCATAAATAAATTTAGACAACATTTATAAACCTAGGAATTATAAAACAAATTAACATAGAAATATCACATTTGCTGAAAATGATAAAATTTAAAAGATAAACATATATTATATAAATTGTAATATAAAAATTGTTGTCCAGAAATTAAATTGTGATTTAAAAACTGAATTTACATGAAGTGTTTGTCCCTATCTTCAGGCTATAATGGACCTAATGGTTAAGGTATGTAATAATCTCTAACATTCTATCGTATGTTCTTGATGTGTGATGAGGGGATGGGCATGTCGGATTGCTTCTACATAACGCCTTTCTTTGTCATTCGATCTTATAGTCCATTGTGAACCCCCTTTGATCGTCTTTGCCTACATAAATTGAGATAACCATTGGGATGGTGGTCTCTATACGCTAAGATCTCAATTGATCCATGATACATACTTCAATCATAATTTGTTCAAACGAGGATCTCACATCTTGGGACATATAATAATGATGATGTAAATAATGTTCAACAGTAGATTTCAGGCTTTTCAGCAAAATAGAAATTAATAAACTAGATTTTAAAACTACGAACTTAATTTAAAACTTATAAAAGCATTTGTAATGACTGATTTTAAAACTTACAAAAAATAAAATTTAAAAGTGCGTTAAATAGATTTTGAAACCCTTAAAAAATGGATTTTAAAACCTTGCTAAGTTGTGAGAAGAGCTGGAGGGATTACAATGTTGTAGTTGGTTGATTTTTGAGTTGGGCACATGATACGGCAGAAGCAGGAGAGATTATTAGGTGCGGAGTGCGGACAGGGAGAACCGTCCACACAAGCATTGTTCGGCGCTAGGTACTGGCACTCGGTACCGTTGGGTACCGCTTGGTACCCACTATTTGTGCGGACGGTGTGCACTCCGTACCTAATAATTTTTCCAGAAGTAGGGTGGTACTGGTCAGTCCAACAAGGAAGCCCGACTCAAGTGGTGCCAACGTACAAGGAGAGAGAGGTAGTTTAGGGGGGTGGGGCCCAGCAGAGAATTAAAATATTATATTATGAGAAAATCAATTAGGAAATATTCCTCTCCTATTTGATTTTCTTTTCTCATTGAAACATTTCCTAATTGAATTATTTTTCAAATTAAGGAGGAAAATATATTAGGAATGGGACTGATTTTGGAGGGAGGGAGGAAGCTTATTTAAGTCCATATTAGGATTTATTTTATCCTTATGCATATTTTGTTTTTAGTGTTGTAGTTTTCTTCGTGTGGGGGATCCTAGCGCATCTAGGGTTTGAGAGAAAATGTCCTCCTCTCAAAATAGGACCATTGTATCTTGCTTTTGTTATTTGATTTCCTAGCAGTAAAAAAATCTGTTTTGCGCTGAATTTCTCTTGTTTGTTGGCTGATTTTTTTTTATATATCAAGGCAAATCAGCACACAGATTTTTACTGATAGATTCACTACAAATTCTTCAAGAAATGACAAACTGCTGCGGTGAAGGTTTGTTCTCTCTTTGTAACTCTTTGGTTTCAGTTTTATTTGGCTAGAAATTTTTTTTCCTAAGTTTGATATATAGTGCTTATGCGTTGCTGCATTGGAAAAATGCTTAGGGTTTTTATTTTGAATCCTTTAGAATCCATTTAGAAACATTTTTACAAGCATTATGCCTACTGTGAAAGGTTGGGATCTTGTATAGGCATTTTACGAAATGTTTGAAAATTGTGGTAGCCGTTGGAAGACCACAACTTCATGGGCTTTAAGGAGCTGCAAATGGTTATAGACCAGCTTACATGTTTATACAGCATTGGATAAACCGATTTCAACAAGGATTTTTTCATGCTTATGGACGATTGTGCTTATTGGATCTGTGAGAATATATAGACTTCGGTTGGAACAGTTTTCTTGTTGCTTTTTAATGCAGATTTTTAGTATAAAAATTTTTATACTAAAAAATTATTTTAGGAAGCTATAAATAATTGTCTCAAATGAAGCTATAGTGTTGAAAGAACAATTAATTGCTATGCTATAAACGAATTGATGTTAAGATGCCAACAATTTATAGGATAAATTATTCTGTGCGAATACTGGACGTCGTCTAGAGGCCAATCAGAACGTGTCACGTCACTTTGTTTTTTGGTATCGGTGATTGGTACCTCAGGGTACCGGGTGATGTGGCATATTCTGATTGGTCTCTGGACCGTCAGGTATTTAATTACCACCAAAGAGAAGGAATTGCTGAATTTCATCTTGCTACAGTGATTTCAGCAAATGAATAGTCGACAAAAACTTTGTGCTTTGGAAATTGGTAAATTACAAAAAAACTTAAAGCTTAATTCAAAGAATATAAAATATATGATTTTTCAATGAAGAAATACAATAAAAATTCAAATATATGTGGAAAATTCAAAATATGTGTAAATAAAATTAAGGTTTCATTTGGGATGGTTTTTTTATCCTCCCACATATTAGCATATCTGGTTGTAAAAAATAGCTTATCACCATAAATTTCTAAAAGATAATAAAATAGTAGTAATCAAACAAAAGTATGATAACGATTTGAAAAGTAAAGTAGCTGAAATCTTCCCCAAACAGGACAACTGCCCGGTTTATTGAGTATACTCAGTAAATATTATACAAATACTCATTATAAATCGGACGGTTGTCCTGTTTGGACTCCGCATGTAATAATTTCATGATACTTAGCAACCGCAACAGCTCTAGTCCTATCAAAATCAATAGCATTTAATCAAGACTAATAATGAACTAAAAGAACTCTATTCACTGAGCTATATGAAAACTTTATAATAATCACTTCCATACTGATTATTGGAGGGAAAATAGGGTGAAAGTTTGGAAGTAATCATAGAGAGAAGAAGAGAAGGAAAAGTCTTTAGGCTCCTTCCATTTCTGATTGCTGCCATCTTTCTTGCTCAAGCTCATTGAACTGCACATTGCCGCCTTGGGAAGGATCATCCCATGAAAGATATAAACTCGCTTCCACATGTTATTTAAGTGACAATGTTTGCCACCCCGACAACTGAAGTAATGTACCCCATTGAAAAAATTATTCTGTGCGGACATCGAACGTCATCCGGAGAGTAATAAAAATATACCACATCATCCTTTTAATGTACTGCGGCTCGGTACCTTTTGATACCAAGACTCAGTACCAACGACATTCGGACGTAGAACTGCGTCCGATGTCCGCACAGAATAATCCGCCCATTGATATCAAAACACTGTTTTGACAATTTTTAGAAGATTTATTGAGTTAGCGAAATAATGTCTTTAAAAAATTTGTTTCTTTTTTTCATACTCACTATAGGTTTTTAGTTTCAAGCCTCCTGAGTTTATCAGCTGATAAGGTTGAGTATCTTCTACAAATAAATTTGAATCCAACAGTGTCAACCACCTTCACTTATCTTCTAGATCTTCCTAAATTGCTTTAGGATCTTAGTGTAATTGCATTAAGATCTCAAGTATCATATTTGGATCATAATGTGTCTCAAAGAAATGAGATTTACTTTGAGAAGAGGATAATATGAACTTTGATTGATTAGTTTTATATTACACTCATTTATAAGCAAATCTAATAGCTTTTATATCTATTATAATCAAATTTTGATGACAAAATTTTTACCAATTTTTTTTTTCAATTTATTGATTTTGATATTCATCAAGATCGAATTTTGATTAGAATATTTTGATCAACTTTTATTTTTTTTATAAATATATTGATTGACTTGTAAAGTAATGCAAATGTTCCTACATACATATGCTAATTTTATATCAACTAACACAATAAAAATATGAAATTATTATGCAAAACAGTGTATTTGTTTGGAGAACAATAATTAAATGAAATAATAGAGTAGGTATCTGATTTTAATTGTCTAATAGGCTAAGACTTCGTTTGGGACGACTTTTTATTACTTTTAAAGCAGAGTTTTGTACAAAAATTTAGAAAGTCGTCTCAAACAAAGCCTAAATCTAATTAGATGTAGGCAATGAGTGGTTGCAAATGTCTTGAGATAGTATGAGAACGAATAATCTTAATTTGCAAAAATTTACTGCATTAATTATTATTATTATTATTAGTAATAGTAGAATTTAAGTTGGATGGTTGTAGTCGAAGAATTCATCAAGCCTATTGTGTTATAAAAAAATCCCTCATACTCAAAATTAAGAGAAAATTCAATAAGATAGTGGTGAGACATGCAATATTTTATGTTGTAGAATGTTGGTCATTAAAAGAGAAGTATAAAATTAAGAGTTGCAGAGATGAGGATGCTCAGATGGATGAATGGCTTTACACTTATAGATAGACTGTGAGACAAGTATGTACATGAAAAAGTTGGAATAACTCAAGTGGCATATAATATTAGAGAGATTGTCTTAGATGGTTTGGTCATGTAAAGCGTTAGCGTTCTGATGACCAAGTTAGGAGAGTGGATGTATTAGATTTGACCTATCTTAAGAAAGGTAATGACAAAATTAAATAAACTTAGATAGGAAATCTTAGAAATGATATTTTTATTAGATTTAAATCAGAATTTAACTCTTCATGTGGCCAACCCAATGCAGTGGGATAAAGGCTTGATGTTGATGTTGTATATTAATATAGCTAACTTTTGATATTTATTTTAATCACATCAAAATATACACATAAATTTGTGCATTTTACGTTAGAAAAATTAATCTTATAAGTATTTTTTTGTATGCTTTAAAGATATGGGTGTTAAATAAGTAAATATTAAAATTTAAATATTTGATATATAAATACATAAAAATTTTATGGTATGTATGTACATTTCTTATTGTATTATCATCTTACCTCCTCATCGAATGAGAAAATAAAATAAATATTATTTCATTGGTAAATTTGCATGTTAAAGGCACAAATTTTAATAAAATTAAAACAAAATCCATTACTATATATAGAATTATAGATAAGAAATTATGCTTATAATAATAAAAAAATTATAAAGATAATGACATTATTGTTAAAATGTGATTTAATATTATTAAAATATCGTAATATTTGAAACCTTCAAAGAAGGGCCATTTTGAAGTCACAAGAAAAATTCTATGCCTCTTTGATAATTAATAAAGGATGAAAAATGTGATGGAATCATAATTCTTAAATAGGGTTCAAGGAAATTCAAGGTGTTTCATTGTTTATATAATCAGACATTTACATGTTTATATTATATATAAATAATTATAGGTGTTTTAATAAATAAATAAATTATAAATTGAAATTATTTATTTATTATTTATTTAATAGTTATTATTCATGTATATAAATATTATTGAATTTGCTTATAAATTTTATGTATTGTTCTCTTAATTCAAAATTCAAATTTTTTTGGTCTCATCTCAAATCTTGAGTGATATGATTGTTGTGTTAATTAATATATATGATCTTAATAAGGCATAGGTTTCGGTTGGGACGGATTTCTTATTGTTTCTTGAAATAGTTTATAGTACAAAAATTAAAATTTTTGTACTAAAAAGCTGCTTTAATAAGCAATAAGAAACTAGTCCCAAGCGAAGCCTAAGGCTTTGTTTGGGACAGCTTTCATACTACTTTCAAAAGCAGCTTTTAAACACAAACATTTTTTTGAACTAGAAATTTTACAAGTTGCCAACAACTTGAAATAATGAGGTTGGAGATTATATAATGGGATTTCATTAGTTTCTTATACATGCTCGAATAATTTGAACTTCCACCATCAAATATTGTTTTATCAATACACGTATAGGTGAGGCAAAGCTGGTTGGGCCCATTTGAATTCATTTTTTTTTTTAAGAAATTTAGAAATAAAAAATAAAAAAATTGACACTCAATATTTAAGATCAAACTAATTTAAAATATAACATTCAAATAAAAAAAAAATTGAGAAGAATCTTCTCTCATTTTTTTTTTTGAACGGGGGTATCAGCCCGCTGCCACGTCAGCTTGTGACGCGTTTGGCAGTGTCCACTAATCCCTCGGCGAGTCTACCAGCAACCAGCCCCACAGGTGCAGGACCCACAGTTCTTTTCTCTCCACTTAAGGAGTCGTGCCATATGAAAAGAGAAATTATTACGTCCGGTGAAATCCGAACATATCCGAATGTATAACGAAGAGTGCTCAATACCGAGTTTTAGGTGATGTGGCACGTGGTTATTGGTCTCTAAACACATTCGGTGACCGGACATAATATTTGCTCGTATGAAAGGAGATTCGAACTTGAGATGGGAGGTTCTCAACTAAACACGACCACCAACCCACCTAAGCCCGGTGGGGTCTTCTCTCATTTCAATCAACATACTCGCGTCGGCGCTAAAATCGGCAAAATTAGTCGGGTCTTTATACATTTCTATCTTTAAATGCCCCGTCTTCCTTCGTACATATGGAAGCAATAGTGCGGGGCAAATTATTGGGTTTATTGGCTGTCCGAACTTATCTTTTGGCTCCGGTCACCTGACCCAATAATTTGCCATAGTGCGGAGCCATCTATGTTCGTAATTGGTCTCAGCTCCCAACCGCTCCTCCCACCGACGTCGACTCCCCAACTGAGAATAGGTCAGCACACCAACAAGCTCCCTCGGGAACGCTCAAATCCCAATCCCTTCATCGATTGCAGAGACAAAGTTTCTTCTAAGATCCATATTTTCAAGAAACCCGTAAAATCTCCGTTCCATAGCTCCAAGACGAGAAGGTCTCGATCTCTTACCTAATATGCTTCTCCATATCGGTTCGCTTTGAATCGCAATTGGTTTCTAAGCTGGAGATCTCGACGGGTGGAAGAAGATGAGGGAGAGCAATTTAGTACCGGAGAAAGAGGAAGGAGAAGGATCGGTATCTTTGTCTGAAGGCGAGGTCAGCATTAGGTATTTTGGCGATGGAATTGAGATGCCGGTGATCCAAAAGGAGCCATCTTTCTCGCGGTGGTGCGACGAGAAAGATGGATTCAGACATTCGATTCCGTCGACCAACGGATCTTGTGAATGCGGTACTGTGGATGGATCTGATGACTTCGATCTGCCGCTTCTCCAAGATGTGGGGTCTGGGAGAGCTCATTCAAGCTTGGAAGGGCAGTGGTCGAATGGATTTAGGCAGCGCAGCATGACTGTAGCTTCATTGGAAGGCAATGGGGAAGGGAATAGGTATATACCTATACCTTTGGATATTGAGAACGGTATCCATACTAGCGATTCGGTTGCGAAGCTGGAAAGTTTAGAGGCCGAGCAGAACTCGATCACTTACGTCATTGTGCTTAAGACGCTGTTCTTTATACTTATTTGGTACACCTTCAGTACCTGCTTGACGCTGTAAGTGTTCAAATGCTAGGAAGTTATAACGGCAGCTATCTTTGGGTTCATTAAATTTGTTGATTTTCTGACCGATTTTCTGCGCGTGGATAAGGTATAATAAGACATTGTTAGGTGATCACCTCGGACGATTCCCAGCTCCATTGTTGATGAACACTGTTCACTTCTCACTGCAAGCTGTTTTAGCGAAGGCCATCGCTTGCTTCCAGTCTCGTGGTTCTGAAAAAGGTGCTAAAATGACATGGAAGGATTACTTTGTCAGAGGTAAATTGTTTGACGTCTGTTGTGATTTGCATTCATTTTTTTAATGATTTGATGATTTATGAAGACATTGATGATACAGATGAATTTCACTTTCTGCAGTTGTACCAACTGCCCTTGGAACTGCTTTGGACATAAACCTAAGCAATGCTTCACTTGTTTTCATATCTGTGACATTCGCTACAATGGTTTGTCATGGTTTTCAGCAACTATCAACTATTTGCTAACTTGTTAAGCTTGTGTTTTTCCTGATAACCACATGCTCTGATGTGCAGTGCAAATCTGCTTCTCCGATATTTCTCCTTGTGTTTGCTTTTGCATTTCGGTAAGTTTGATGAGATAACAGTTCTACGGTGATGATTTCTTATGTTTCCATAAATATTGTATTTTGTGCCATGCCTATTCTATCACTTTGAATTCTGCGTAGATCCTTTATGCAATCACTAGAAGAACTAATAACTGAATACTTGTAGGATATGGAGTTACATTATGTTAACAAGCCATCTAAATTTGTGCTGATGTTTATGTCTGACTCCATCATGCAATTTATCTTGATCTGTTGGTTGGGAGCTTTGACTACCAATCAAGAGGTCTTGAGTTCGAAGCTTGCGTATGTGATGTTTGTGTGAGTTTGCCTTAATTGGCCTGAATGTTCTCCCAAAAAATAATATTCGACTCCATCTAGTATTTATTATGGTCATGACATCTTTCCTGGTTTTTTGCCCCTTTCTACACTTGAACCCTTATTATTTCACAGGCTGGAGACTCCCAGTTTTAAGCTTCTTGGAATTATCTTGATAATTTCTTTTGGAGTTCTATTAACAGGTATGTCATAACTTGTTTATTATCTTTATAATACATATAGAAGTATGCATCTGAATGAGTTTGAAATCGAGATCAATCTTATTTCTTGTTATTTCTGCAAACATGTCATTAGGATGCTTGAGTTCAGAATCTCAACAAATCCTTTGAAAACTTTCTAAAACACTTGGTGCTTGCTTAGTTTATGTTGTTTTGTTCATTTTGAGAACTCATATACTGATTTTGAATGTTACATCTAAGCATTTAGATAAAATGATGTAGAAATTTGCAGACTTCTCTTGATCTACCTTTTCTCTGATTATCCTAACCTGTACATTTCTATATCTTATATTTGGGTTGGGGGTTTTGGAAAGCTCCTCATTATTTGTCAGAAAAAGGTATGTGTATAAGATGATTTCATAAACCTATGTAAAAGGAAGCCAACCGATGTCTGCTTTTGGATGGCTGAGTGGAAACGGGAATAATATTTAATTAATATGTTAGGATTACTGTCTAATTAACATTAGTTTAATCATTAACAGTAAATTACTGAATTAATAGTAACTGTTAATTACTTGATTCCTTAACAATAACTATTAGCATTAATTAACAGAACAATATTCTGTGTTAACAATAATTAATTGCTAATCATAATTAAAAGTAATTTTAAGTTAAAATTTTAGGAAAGTAAATTTGTTAGAAATTTTAATAGAAGTTAAGAATTCGAGGATAATTTAATTAAGCAAAATTTTGTAATCTTACCTGGAATTTGGGTTATTACAGTAACGCATATTAAATTTTTGTTGAAGTTAATAGTTTATGACATATAAATTATATTTTTGTGTGTATTTTCGTTATGCCATATAATCCTAGGTTACATTAGTAAATCCTTGGCTCTAAACTATCCTTCTTAAAATCAGTGTTAAGAGTTTAGTTTTTGTCTTCATGTCACTAAAAAAATGAGATGAATTATTAGTGTTAGTTAGCAAATCATTGTTTGAATGGTGTAATTGTTATACTTGACATGTTGGCAACTAATTAGCTACTCCTACAAGAGTCGGATTATGAATCTGATAGGAAATACTCGAGTTTGCAAGTAACCCTAAGGGAATACTTGAGTTCGCAAGCAAACCTATCACTAATTGGAGAGAAAACAATGTGAATAGAGCAAAATCTGGGCAAAATCAGTCCCAAAACAATCGATTGCAATAAACGAAACAAAGGAAAACCAACTCAAAAGCAAGATAAAAGTGATCCTCAATTCGAAAGGAGGATCGTCTCTCCCAAATATCTAGACAAGAGAGTCTAGAGTCCAAACGCCAAAAAACCCTAATTCTCAACCAAATCAAAACATGAAATGCCTCTAATCCCCCTCATCCCCTTTAATACAAAAGGTTTCCTAATATATTTTCCCTCCCAACCCTAGTCTCCCCACTCCGTTTGAATTTTCAATCAATTGGCATTGTGGGGCCCACCCCATTAGGCGAACCAAGCAAAGGAGGCGGAAGCCTCCGCCTCCTATAGACCAACGGCTCCCTTTGGGCCGGCTGGTTTTGGACCGATTTAGTGTGAACCGGTCTAACAGAATCTTTCCTTAATGAGGAACCTAATCACAAATAATGAAATAATCAAGACAGACATCAATAAATCATGAAAACTAGAAGAGACAATCATATGATATTGATGATGACATAACTAGGAAAGTTAAAGTTGATGTCTCTACCTTCAATGGGAAAGTATATCCTAAAGCTTTTGTTGATTGGATAATGAACGTTAATAATTTTTTAAGCAAATGATGCCTCATGAGCGACAAGGCTTATGAAACTAAAACTTAATTGATGTTTACGAACAAAAAAATATCCTTATACATTTGGCCCCGCTTAGTTGCATATTTGCATGTCTCTCATTTCCACTTGGCTATGTCTACTTGAAACTCATTCGTTGTTCCTCTCTTACTTACCCCATCAAAGCTCCCTATCTTAAATCTCTCTCACATTTGTTTACTCTCTCACCTAAAAATCATTGATGACATTCTCTCATGATCTCAGTCTCATTTGCACTTGCTTCTCAGTCCATAGCACATCTTTTTGCAATCAACACTCCAAAGATGCTATGGCCTTGCTCTCCTCTTTCTTCATTGTCTTTGTTTGCATGTAAGATTCTTCCCAGTGCGCAGGACATTTCCCTCTCCGACGCTAATATTTTTTCCTCCCTAACACAAGAATAACGATATATCTCATATAAAAACCCTAGTGATGTTGAGCTTGACTCGTGTCACTCCAATGACCTAATTCTTGGTGACATAAAGCTTTGTGACTTCTTCGTGCTAAATGTATGTATAATATTTGTTTTCTCTTTCATGAAAATTTTCTCAATTGCAAGTGACTTATTGAATAGTTGTTGATCTTCCATCCTGCTAAATTGAAGGCCTTGTGTTGTCAATCTTTGGCACGACCATTTTAATCATTGAAGAATTGACGATCTTTGATCTAGCTTGGTTAACCATTAAGGCTCATCGATCTCTGGCCCAGCTAAGTTGAAAACCTTTCCTAGCTAAATGAAAACATTTATTCATTTATCCTTAGTCTAATCTAATGTTAAAGACCACCTCTCCATGTTAATCTTTGCTCAATCATGAATTATTTTCTCTCTCCATTGATTTTTTATCTGAATCAAGGGTTTAGTTATTTTTTCACTAATAACTATGCATAATAAAAACAGAAGAATCTCGAATTGACGACAATTTTCTCTTAAACGCTAAGTTGCTAACATATTATGAAAAAGAATGCGAAAAACAAACAAATTAATTACTTTTAAAAATGCTCAAAAGGATTCAAATAAGTTGTTGAAAAGCCATCAAGCTTTAGTTCAACTAAATTGAAAACCCCTCATCATCAATCTTTGATCCAAACAATTTTGATGACCACTGTATTGTTGAGCTTTGGTTTATCATGGGGCCTCTCCTTTCATTGATCTATGGTTCGTATATAATGAGCGATTTTTTTTTGTTAGCAGTTGTGTCAGGTTGAAACTCATCAATAGCGTTTAGGATATCATTGAGATGAAGTCAAAACAATCATTCAGTGTCTTTGAAGACTACAACATGCTTGGGATGCCATTTTGATTATTTGTGGTGGACTAAGCTTTGCTGATGTAGTTAGAACCCCTCTTGTGAAAAGAAAATAAAGGTGATTCATGAACGCTTAGAAGGAACATTGGTCATGTTACGAACAAATTAATCTACAATTTGAAATTTTCCGCATACTAACATCTAAATTTGGAACTATAAAAAGAATGTCAAATTTAACCTCTACAATACATATTCATAAATTAATAATTTGAACGTAATAAATGTTTGTTTAATACTCACATATGTGCAACAATTGTTTGTTTAGTATTTATCTTGACAAGATTGTTTTTCAAAGTTGAATAAGTCTCGCAATTTATATAACAAAAGAAATACATTTATGTAAGCAGCTACAATCACTCTTTTCCTTCAGACTATTTCATCCGTAATACATGAATCCTAAAATTTAATAAAATTATCGTCAACTTCAAAATGACCAAAACAAGCTTTTCTTAAAACAATCAAGTGCTTTATATATTTGAATTTGCTATGAAAAGTGTGCCAATATGTCATGGAATTCTTTCAAATATTCGAGACGTTTGTTAATATAACTTAATAACATTCAGTCATGTTCATGAGTTGATGTCTATACCAAAATGCATCGATATGTGCAAAGCATGCTATCGCCTTGTAAACTCCAATACAGACTTATAATGTTAACCTGGTTTATTAGACATATAAAAGTGCATGGGTCTTACACAATTGTTTTTTAGTGGATACAAGGGTCCTCATGAGTCACTGCTAAACGGGCTACATTGCTTGCAATTCTAGGTCAAAAGATCTACTATTAGGCCAATTCTAATATTTGAGTCATTAGTCCCAAGTGCGAGCATGACGAAAGCCATTACTATAAACCCTGACTATCCATGCAACTCGCAAAAAGAGCAGGAAGTCCCATATTTCAAATTATATTAATTATCATATAAAAAAACTAAAATTATGCATAATGAACATTAACGGATGAAAGCCTCATCCCAATTAACAGTCCAACATAGAGATAGTAAGCCCGTCACAACAAATCAAATCAGCACTTTATCTATATGGTAAGGTTATAAGATTCATTATTGGGATTTTGCACTCTTGAGATTGTAAGTCCCACTTGTGGGCTTCTATTAGATGTAAGTCCCATCCTAATTAATGGGCCAACACAAAGCTAACAAGCCCATCAAAGTAAGCCAACAACAATAACATCAAGCCTTTATCCCACTGTGGAGTTGGCAACACAAATCATTTTTTTCCATTGTGTCATATTAAAAGTTAAATTCCCATTTAAATCTAATAAAAAATGTCATTTCTAATACTTTCTAACCAAGTCTTTTTAGGCTTACCTCTACTTTTCTTAACATAGGTCATATTTAATACATCTACCTCCTAACTGGGTCATCAGAAGTCTGACGTTTTATGTGACCAAACCATAAGGTGGCTCTCTCTAATCTTATATGCCACTGGAGATACTCCAATCTGTTCACGTATATACTAGTCTCGCATTCTATCTTTGAGAGTAAAGCCACTCATCCACTTGATTATCCTTATCTCTGCACCACTTAACTTAATTTTGTGCTTCTCTTTTAATGGCCAATATTCTGCGCCATAAAGCATTACAGTTCTCATCACCATCTTAAAGAATTTTCCCTTAGGTTTGAGGGGTACGCTTTTATCACACAATAGGTCTGATGCATTCCTCCACTTCAACCATCCAACTTGAATTCTACTAATAATATTCCCTTCTATTTCACCACTTTGAACAATAGACCTGAGATATTTAAAACGTATACTCTTTTTAATGTCTTGATTGTCCAAATCACAATTCCCCCACTAGATCTATTTTTAGTAAAATTATACTTCATGTATTTGATTTTCGATCTACTTAAACAAAAACCTTTAGATTCTAAGGTTA